TGAATGGTGAGGATTAGAAGTTAGGTGGCGCCCTAGGGTTTAAAAACTACAAAGAGAGTGCCCTAGAATGAATGGTGGAGATTAGAAGAGGTGGAGGGTGGAGATTAAACAGCTAGGGGCGGCTAGGATTTGCTAAGGATGAAAAGAATAGGTTAAAAGGCGCCCTAGGGTTTGCTAAGGAGAGGGGAGCAAGCTAATACAGTAAGAGGGACGCCATTCTAGGTTTAGCAGATAGGAGGCGCCCTCCTGTGCTCAGTTTTTCACAAAACACCCCTCTCTCAGCTGGACTTCACACCAGCTTCCCAAAAACTGCATTTCAGCCATGAAACCTCCCCAGTTTTCTACAAAATTTGCACAATGACCCTCAGATGTCACAACATTGAATTTAACTGGGAAAAGGGCACATCTTGACTATTCTAAGGCTGAAAATACCCTTGAAATGATGCCCTTAAGTCATCAAAATGCAGATTTATCACCCACACCATCACGATCCTGACCACCAACCCCTTAAGGCCGTCCTCGCCAAGCTAGAGGCCTTAGAATGACTGACCAAGTGGGTTGTCGAACTGTCTGAGTTTGACCTGTAGTACCAATCAAGGCCTGCAATCAAAGCACAAACCTTAGCCGATTTTGTGACAGAATGCACCTTCAATCGATCCCTCTACTGAGCCCCATAAGAAGAAGAGGAAGAAAGGCCTTGGCTGACCAAAAGACCTCGACCTACCTGAAAGTTGTTTGTTGATGGATCATCCAACTATAAGGGAAGAGGAGCCGACCTCATACTCCTTGCCTCAGACAACACCGAAGTAGAATATGCGTTGAGGTTCGACTTCTCGGTCTCCAACAATGAAGTCAAGTACGCAGCCCTCATCACTGGTCTACAGCTCACAAAAGACCTTGACTCCCAACACATTAAGGTCTTCAGCGACTCTTAGTTAATGGTGAACCAAGCCAATGGTGAGTATGAGGCCAGGGAACAGAGCATGGCCAAATACTTAGCCAAGGTGCAAAAGCTCGCCTACCACTTCCAATACTTCACCTTGCAACAAGTCCCACAGTCCGAAAACATGAGGGCCTGCACCTTATCATAATTGGCAAGCACCTCTGGTGCAACCCTTGGCCGCACTGTCTGTGTGGAGAAGTTAGCTCGCTCTAGCATCAAACAAGTCCAAGTACTCCTAGTACAGGTTGAGCCTTCCTAGATGGATCCCATCATTGCTTTCCTCATAATCGAGCAATTGCCTGATGACAGAAACCAGGCCAAACGAATCCGATGGCAAGCTGCCCACTATACTTTGCTTGAAGGGAAACTATACCGAAGATCTTTTACCTTGCCCTATCTCCAGTGCCTCCGCCAAGAGGAGGGCAAGTACGTGCTCTGAGAGATTCCCAAAGGCATTTGTGGCAATCACATTAGAGGTAGAGCCTTGGCCCAAAAAGCACTAAGGCAAGGGTATTTATGGCCAACAATTCAGAAGGATGTAGCCGAGCTGGTGCGGAAGTGTGACCGATGCCAGCGACACTCCAACATCTCCCGCCAGCCAGCCACAACCCTTTTAGCTCTTAGTAGCCTATGGCCCTTTGCCAAATAGGGCATGGATCTCCTTGGTCCCTTCCTTTAAGCTATAGGAAATAGAAAATACCTCGTTATCACCATTGGCTACTTTACCAAATGGGTCAAAGTCAAGCCCCTGGCTACTATCACGATTAGGATTATACAAAATTATTTATGGAATAACATCATCTATTGCTTCAGCTTCCCCCACATGTTAGTCACCGACAATAGGAAGCAGTTCGACGATGCAAGGTTCCGAGAATGGTGTGCTTCCCTTGGCATCAAGTAGCAATATACCTCGGTGGGCTATCCATAAACCAATAACCTAGTCGAGGTCACTAACATGACTATCCTAGAAGGGCTAAAGACCAGGCTCTATAAAGCCAAAGTCCTCTGGGCCGACCGAACTCAACAGCGTTCTATGGGCCTACTAGATGACACCTTAAACAGTCACAGGAGAGACCCTGTTCAACATAACTTATGGCACCGAGGCCATCATTCTAGTAGATACAACAAAGCCAAGAACAATGAAGCCCGAGAGTAGGCTCATATTTGGGTAGCAACAAGGCTAACCGACACTTCAAACTGAGGCATACAACAAAGCCAAGAACAATGAAGAACTTAGACCAAACCTTGACCTATTGGAAGAAGCCCGAGAGTAGGCTCATATTTGGGTAACAACCTACCAACAGGGAGTAGCCTGTTATTAAAACTCAAGGGTGAAAGAGAGACACTACAAAAAAGGAGACCTCGCCCTCAAAAAAGTCATGGTGCTTGAGCCTAATGTAGGCAAGTTCAGGCCCAACTGGGAAGGTCCCTACAAAATTAAGCAAGTTGTTAGCCTTGGCATGTTTCAGCTCGAGCATCTGACTGGTAGACCGATCCCTTAGATATGGAACTCAGAAAACCTTTGGATGTATTATTAGTGAATGTACTCCCTATTGGTTGAACAATGAATAACAGTGCAAGGTTCCTCCCCCCTCGGCTCAAAGTCTTAGTGTACAAGTTCTTATTTTTCTAATGGCCAAGATCCCTCGGCCACACAAACAGCCGACGCATATAACCTTCTCCGAGGTTACACACTTGGACTGGATGGTGGCTGAAACACACAGTTCCTTATGAACCATACATCCACCCTGCCTTCGCGTTGAGGTAGGGACTGATAGGAACCACGAATATAGGCATCGACCAAAGACCCCAGCCTATAATGAACAATGAAACCAAAAGTAACCTTAGTACTTCGCCTAACTGGAAGAACGTGGTGGCATCGGCCAAGCGTACCTCGGGAGCCTTGGCCGCTTGAAGGATCTCTCCCCGACTCCTTGGCAGCAACAGACCACCTCAACTTTACTCACTTACCAGGGCAAAGGTTAAGAGGGGAACAATCCCGACATCTCGGCAATTAATGCTAAGGACTTCATCTCCCTTCCCTCCCCGACGAGGAAAGGGGCCCCTCGATCATCTCAGCTGCACAACTTGGCCCCGACTAAACTCCTTTAACCCAACTTCCTATGCGAACGATTAAGAGACAAACCAACTCGGATGACAACTTCTTTGCTACTTGTGACCTCTCGGAATGGGGCATAGACTCCTAGGCAAAAAATGAAAATGAAAAAGTACAAGAACAAGTACAAGAAACAAGCAACAAAGGTACAAGTTACTCAAAAAGTATATTCCATTTTCATTGTCAGCACTTTACAAAAAGTAGGCCTCGAATGGGGAGGCGAAGCCCTTTACAAGAAGTAAGTTAAGCAAAATAATGAACAAAGAGAAAAGAGAAAGAAGAAAGAGCGACAGGAGCAATAAAGTCCTCGACAGAAGGAGTAGTAGAGTCCTCAGCTACAGGAGCTGGGTCCTTAGCACAAGGGGCTTCAACATCCCTCGGGACCTTCAGTTGGTCCACCGGGAAGTCCAACATTAGCCTCAACACCTTGAGCTTGGTGTCCTCGACTCCCTCCAAATAAGAGTCAACCTCATAATCGACGAGGCAATTATAGTACTCCTCTGTCATCTTCTAGATGTTGACGACCCCCTTAGCCCTCTCCTCGACCTTTGCCACTCGTGCCTGAGCTGTTGCCAAGGCCTTGCCGAGGCGGACACGCTTGAGCTCAGACTTCTTCAAGGCCTCCTGGAGCTTGGCTGCATGGGCCTTCTCTACCTTGAGGTCCTCCTCCATTGTCCTCTGGACCTGCTTCTCCTCGTTCACAATCAAGACAAATAGCATCTCGATTGCTCTCAGCCTTGGCAACCCGCACCTTGAGCCACTCTTTCTTGTCCTTGGCCTTCTTCAGGTGTTGGACGAGGAGCCCGACCCGGTCACCTAGGCCAATGAAGTATCGGTAGACCTACAACGAAAATACCTTCATCAGCAAGTTAAAACCAAAAAAAGGCAACGCCAACTAGAGAAGTGATGGAAAGAAAAGCTTACCTTGGCCAGGTGGTCCCAGAGGTCAGTCGGGCTCTCGTTCATCATGGCCAGATGATCCCCCTAAGAGATCATCCCCCTGATTAGGGCCCTCACGACCCCTTGGTTTCAATGGAGTCTCCCTCTCAGACATTCCATTGGGGGCGGAACACTCGGCACGTGACTAGCTCCCCTTCTTCCCGCGACTCCAATGAAGATTGAGGGCCAGAAGAATGAGGCCCCTCACGGCCCCCTTGGTTGGAGGCCCCCTCGGCGTGTCGACGGCCAATTCCCCTTAGGCACCACCCTCAGTTGGGTGGTCCTTGTGTGCCAATCTCTTTCCCAAAGGGGGTTGAGGTGCATTGGCTGGCCTTTTTTGGTCAATCTCTCGTTGTTGACTCCCCTCGACCAACCTCTTGTCTTGGTCGGCTCCCGCGTTGGTCGGAGCTTAAGGCCAATGCATCCTCTCGACAGGCGCAAACCCCTCCCCGACGAGCCCTCACCTGTTGCCCTCTTCTTGGCCTGGGCCCTCTCTAGTAACAGTCGCTTCGTGTCTACCAATGTCTATGCAAGAAAACAAAACACACATCAATACCTCGAAGAAAGAAGGAAAGACCAACGCGTTAAAAGCCGATAACAGGATGAGGATTCAGTGACGAAAGGACTCAAGTTTCAAACTCGAACAAAAAAAGAATTGGTAATAAGGCATGAAAAATTTTCATGCCACAAAATAGGTTAAGTTTTTTGCCGAGACCAAAATTTCATTATGAGAAGAATGAGTCCTATTGCAAGAAATGATTATCCAAACACATCTCATTCATTCTTGCCCATTTTTTTTAGAATCGACAAGAATTAAAAAAATGAGGCGAGTGGCAGCAAACCAAACATGGCCTAAGGGGATTGAATAAGCGTCGGTCCCATCAATTCACACATGAAAGGGCAAAAAGCATCGTTAGGAGACGTCGTTAGTAGGTAGTTGGCAGAATTTGTGTTGGTAGCCAGACTCCAATGTGGGTTGAATGACCCACTAGAGTCAGAGGAAAAGGGTCAGGCCGTCAGGGTGGGTTGGGTCGTCAGGGTTAGGCTTAGGGTTCGAGGTTTTCTTCTTCAAGCCTGCAACCCTTCTTCCGGTCCAACCTCCAAGTCGCCATTCAGACAACCTTCAGCACCACTGACGGCCCTCTCCCTTCCAAACCTCCATTTGTCGCCTCTGCAACTTCTCCCCTCCGCCATTGAAGCAAGCCTCAACGCTGCAAAGTTCCTATTCCGCTCCTAGTCGCCATTGAAGCAATACCTCTCACTTTATTATTTCGCAGTTGTCGTTATTTTCCGGCGGTCCAAATCACTGTTAGCACCAATATCCTTTTGGGATCAACAAAAGGGGTAATCTAGGTTCTTGGTTCTGTTGTTTCAAATTACTTAATTTGATTAAGTTTTAAAACGAAAACATAACAAATTATTCGTTTCAAACAAAGACTCCAAGTCGGCCCTGTTTTCCCGTTTGTTTCTATTGGTTCTGGTTGAAGAATGAATCATTCAGAAGCGTCATTGTCGTGTGAAAAAAATAATGGAGTTGATTCTCGGTTGAGTCTTGATTTGTTGGTTGGTATCCTGAGTCTGTGTTTGGGCTTTCCTCTGTCCTCTTTTTCCATTTGTGTGTTGGATTCTGTCTGTAAACGGATTATCTCATTGTGAGAAATAAGTGTGTAGAAAAAAATGATTTTGAAAAGTGAAGCAGATGTCCTTTCCTTTTAGTTCATGGTAATTGAAATTTGTGCTGATTTATAAGTGGCTTGTGTTTCTTCCCTATTACTCTTCATTCATTTTAGAATTTGTAAGTGGTTTGTGTTTCTTCCCTATTTAAGATTAAGAGCACATAAGAGACAGAGTAATCTTAAATCTCCAATGGCAACCATCAACTTACAAGAAAATTTTTAACAACCGTGGCTTTTACAGTAGTAATCTTGAAAGGAAGAGATAAAATTAGCCCAATGGATGCACCTTGCTGAATTGCAGCTCCCCAATTTAATCACTAGAAAACACAGGTTCCTGGCTCACAAGACCCGTCTTTTCTCTCAATCATTTCAATTGAAGCTAGAATCTTACTCCATCTAGATTCTAGAACCTAGGTTAATGTGATTTGATCATTGTTTGTCTCAAAATGATATCACTGTTTGCCACTGATGTAACCAGTTCTGGTCACGTACCAATTTTTTTATTTTTCGTGATGTATCAATTTTTGGCAAAGTATTTCGTCATTTGACCTGCTTCTAGGTGGCCTATGACTCAGAGGATGATGGAGCTCCCTGGTGGCGAACTGCCTGGTGGTGAGCTACTTGATGACGAGCTCCCTGGTGGTGAGCTACTTGGTGACGAGCTCCCTGGTGGTGAGCTACCTGGTGACGAGCTCCCTGGTGGTGAGCTACCTGGTGACGAGCTCCCTGGTGGTGAGCTACCTGATGACGAGCTCCCTGGTGGTGAGCTACCTGGTGACGAGCTCCCTAGTGGTGAGCTACTTGGTGACGAGCTCCCTGGTGGTGAGCTACCCGGTGACGAGCTCCCTTGGTGACGGGCTCCCTGGTGGTGAGCTACCTGGTGACGAGCTCTCTGGTGGTGAACTACCTGGTGACGAGCTCCCTAGTGGTGTGCAACCCGACTGCCCTCTGCATGAGATGATCTACTCCTCTTTGCGGACGGCGGGAGCTGAAGGTCCCATCCTCCCTGCGAGAGATGATATGCTGATCTTTGTGGATGGCGGGAACTGAGAGACCTGCGAGAACTGAATCAGAGGACCCGGGGGTGTTTACCCAACGGGGCCACTCCGATGGCTAAGTTAGCACTCTAATAGTAGAGAGTTTGAAGATGATATTAGAGAAATGAGAGAGCTAGAGAGCAGGGGTTACCTCCATTTTTCCATTCTCTTCCCTTGTCTTTGGGGGTTGGAGTCCTTATATAGCGGTGCCCAGTCACATCAGGCGTAACCGCCTCTGTCAAGTCAGGCATAACCGCCTCTGTCTCTCTGCCGTAGCCGTTACTGCCAGAGATGAGGTGGCGGGTGCAGGCAGCTGTTGTAGGGTACAACTCTGCCAGGCAAGGGACAACTCTCAGGGCTAGCAGGCACAACGCCGCCTGGCGAGAGACGTGGGTGCAGGCCTCTGGATTTGTCAGGTACGGTTGTACCCTAAGTGGCAAGCTACCTATGCCGAAATGCCTGTAAGTGCCGAGCTCTTCGTAAAACGCCAGGTGGAGTGGCCAGCTGCCTATGTCGTGCTACCCCTATGTGGTGAGCTACCTATGCCGAGCTGCCTGTAGGTGCCGAGCTGCCCCTAAGTGGCGAGCTCTTCGTAAGACGCCAGGCTGCCTGTAAGTGCCGAGCTGCCCCTAAGTGGCGAGCTCTTCGTAAGACG